AAAAATATTTTTATACGCCAATTATATAAAAATAAAAACTATTCAAAGCCATAATTTTGATTGGACAATAATATGAAATGTATCAGCAATATACATATGCTACATACCTTTATTGACGTTTATGAATTCCATGTACATTTCGTATACTTCTTGTAGCTTATCTGTTTTTTTTTTTTTTAGTTTGCATAGGACTTGAATATAAATGTTATCTGATGAACCCGGTGTTCATTCCATTGGAACGGTCGGGAGAAGCTCTTATTGCATATCCATTAACGCTTCTATACAGCTGTTATCCTGCTGTTTAGTTGTATGTGAACTTGAAAGGCGCTTATTCAACCTTTTCCCGGTTATCCAATAATCACTACACAGCTTTCTCTTGAAGCCGGGTTAAATACTGTTTACGCTTCTTTATATCAAGGAATTTATTGAGTTTATTTTGCTGTGAATCAAATTAATCGAAATTAGTTACAAATCATCACCAAATTATTTACCCTGCACTGGAACCTGGAATTGAACTCGAGACGACCTCATTGGCAAACCTTGACACTACCAACTGTGCTACGCCAACACTTTGAACTTATGTAAACAAATCAACATTCGCTTCTACAACAAAATCGCTGAGTAGAGGCTTTATAATAGCACACATGAATCACTTTTCTCGACTAGTTATAAAAGAGCAGAGTAAAAGCTGTAAAACTGCACACATCTAAAAATAAACCTAGTTGACTGTGAAAATGCTTCCGAAGTTGCTCTTACACAGTTTATTAGCTGAGTACAGGTTGTTTAGTTGTTGAAAAAGCACTTTTGATGTTTATGTTATTCAACAAGAGTTGTTGGTTGTGTAGAAGCTATCAAATTAGTAATATATTCACTTTGTTAGCTTTGTTTTGCAGCTACAAGTTGAAAGTTGATTAGTGTGTGTATAGAAGTGACATTAGCGTTTATTGGCTGATGTTATTCAGTGCGACTGACAAATTGAATAATGATTGTGAGAAAGTTGAGTAAACGCTCTCCAAAAATATTTTGCTAGCTTTTGCTTGTAGCTGTATCTGCAGCTTCTTTTCAGCTACTTTACAGCACAACGCTGGAAAAGTTGGCTTACAAAGCTGAAAATGTTAGTTGGGATGTGGCCGCCATCCAGCTCCGATCTTAATCCGCTGGATTACTCAATATGGCGCGTCATGAAGGCCAAGGCCTGTTCTAAACGCCACACGAGTACAGCGAGCCTCAGACAAACATTGACCCGTACTACATTATTAGAACCTGCCGTGCATTCCGGAAGCATATGGAGGCCGTTATTGCAGCAAGTGGAAACTCGATCGATGATTAACATAGTTTAAGACTCTGTGAAACATCCCTCCCACTATGGGGCATTTTCATACAACCAGGCGGTCAAAAATATTTCTACCATTTTTTCACAATTTCTGCTATTATTCTTGCTTTGTTTCATCAATATAAAGTGTGCGTTATCACTTTTCAACATTTTCACGACCAACTTTTGAAAAGGGCCTAACTTTTGATTAATTAAAATTTAATTGTTACTATTTTATAACGGTTACAGTTTCAAGCTTGTTTTCAGAGAATAAAATCTATTGAACAAAGACAACCTAAAACCATGGTAGGGGGAACACCGTAAAAAATAAAATAAAACCTTTTTTTTTAAATATGTTTATTTTTTTCAACAAATCTTCTGTAAAAAATATACAAAAAGCCATGATACAATAATCAAAATCAAATATGTTTCAACGAATTTCTTTTTATTCCTCTGTTACAATATCATCATGAACAAATTCTTCTTCAATTTCATCGACTGCTTTCATAAGTTCCTCCAAGGCATTGAAGTTATTAGTATCGACTACTGAATCACTTACAGAATTTTCAGATATCATGAAACTTTTCACGGTGTCGGGATAATCCAGGGATACTTTTTTCTGTCGTCTTTTTGCCATCCAAATGGAACTGATCAGTGGGTCCGATTCATTAATGGCACGAATAAAGACATCATGTAAATTTTCTACTCTTGATCGTTTTCTTGCATGATGGGTTCGATATTTTTTCAATTGTTTATGTTGACTTTCTGCTGCCTCTTCCGCTAATGAACCAAGTGGTGCTGGTGAATGTATGATTATTTCTCCGGCATGAGCGAGAACTTTATGCACGGTTGCAGGAATTTTGTACCAATCATACAATTTAAGATAAAGCCTATATGTTTCCTTGCAATATGCATCAAATTTTTCTGGGTTTATTGGCTCTTGGCAGTTAATAGCAATTAATATATTCCGGAATCTGAAAATTAACTCTTGATCAATGTTCAGCACGGAGCTTAAAAGCTTGGGATTTCCAAATTCTCTTCGATAAACGTTTCCTGTAGTACTGGTACCTGCTCCACCCGATCGTGGTTGATCTACTCTTACACCAAATTTTTCGTAAAGCTGTGTCGTCACATGTTTTTTTCTTTGTTCATATAGTTCTTTGAACGGTTTCGTTACCTTCCATTTTTTGATATCCATTCTGTATGCAATATGCAAAAGGCATTCGAAAAATCTTATCCAAGCATGAAGTGGAGATATGCCGTAATGCAAGGCTTCTTCGTTTGATATAAATCCTTTCTCGAATTTCTCTGCATCATTCATTACATTTGGTGTTGCCCCACATATTGGACAATTCTGCATCGACGAATTTCCAGTGATATAAGTTAAGACTTTTTCGTCTATTATACTGAGGACAAAATCAAAATCAACAAGTATAAACTTGTCGTTTGAGAGTTCAATTTTCACTGGCGTTAGTTCACTCATTTCTTTTTCTACATCCTGTTTTGTAGCCAGAATAACTACTTTACTCTCTTTAATGAATTCAAGGATGAATGGCCTACAAAATCGAATACTTTGAGGCATGGGATTAAACCACATAATTTCCTTTCGATCATTGTACATGAACAACTGAATTGATGTTAAAGTGGACGAAAATACATCTGAATCGTCCTGACATCCTTTTGGTAGCACTTGATGATATTGCGAATATCCAGTTGATCCGTCCATACCCCAGCTACATAGAAGAACCAGTTCCGTAGAAACTAGATCGTTGCTATCCATATACTCGTTGAGCTCTGCATCGATTATTTGGACGATTCGTTTCACTGTATTTTCCATCAGCGCCTGGAGTTTCACTCTTATTTTCAATGCACTTTCTTCGATGAATTCACTAGGAAGGGCGCATATTTTTTTCACTGCTCCGATCACATAGTAAGGTGGAAATCTTGAAGGTGATTCACTATGTATTACTTCGTATTGAAATCTACATACTCAATCAAGCCTCGATAAGTACACTAAAAGCCTCTTCTGGTGACATCATTCCTCGTTGATCAGTTAGTTGAGCCAGCATGGTTTTAGAGCTTTTTTGGTTTTTTAAAATATGCCCAATAACTTTAACTAAATTAAAATCCTTTCGATTATAAGCGGTTCGTATTGCAAATAACAAAGCTTTCTCGATGGTATCGAATTTTGGATCAACTGCTTCTTTATCGATAACGCGACGTTTTCCTGGTTCACTCAAATCCAAGAAAGGTTTTGAAGGTCATCCACGTTTTGTTCCCGAGGCCGAGGTTGAGGCAACACATTGCTCCTGTTCGATGAATTCCTCGATGCCAAATTCTCCATCAAGCCAATTCTGAAAATACGACTCAAATCGCTCTTTCGTGCGATTAGCTTCATGCCATTTGTTGATGTATTTAGTAACGATTTTATGGATCTTTTCATCGAGACGTTTACGTTTTTCCACCGAGATGTTATAATTTTCACAAATGAATTCAATGGCTCTGTGAACATTGTCACTATGGCTTAATTTTGCGTCTAATAGATTAATAATGGTTCTATTATCCATGCTCACACTTGGTCTCAACCTTAAATTTGAATTACACTGTAGTAGTTTAAATAAAAGCTACACAAAACACACTATGGCTTCAAATTGACACTACAGTAGGTTAAGTACAGACTTAGGTATAAATTAAACTCATCCGCGCATATGCGTAGGTACATTCTTACGCATATGCTTCTATAATCGTCATAACACAGGTACTTACATTAGAATAAAGCATAAACGAATGTAGTTTTACGTTCATCCAACATTGAACTTTATGATAATGATGACTTCTTTTTGTACAAAAGCTTAAGCCCTTTTTAAAAGTTGGGCATGAAATATTAGAAAATGTTCTTTAACAATATATTGGATCGACTATACCAACCGAATATAACTCCAAAAGTTGCAAAATAATTGTTGAAAAAGTTTGTTTCCAAGCCGGCTCTTGTACAATTTGAAATCTCCCATAATAACCGAAAATTTTCAAATCGCTTATATTTCCAATGGGGCAGGTTGGGGCAGGCAAACTCTTCAGTACTTGTTAGAGTACACTCAAAACTTCATCCAGAGCTAAGAATTAGCCTGGGAATGTGCGAGACTCGAAAGTTTTTGATCAATAAAGTTAAATTTTCATTAATTTTTAATTATTTTTTTCTATTTTCATTTTTAAATTTTTTTGTCTCCATCAAATTTTCAAATGAATTTTATTTTTGGAAAGCTTATTAAATTACCTTTCCAACGATGTATAATGATGTGGTAGTTATATGATAAATAGAGGATGAAATTTTATTTGAGTGGTAGTGTATTTTTGCGGCAAAATTTGTACTTTTCTTACTCTTTTTTGACTTCGACATCCGATATCTCATAAACGAAAACTGCTAGAAGCTTGAAACTTTCAGATTCTCTTAGTTGAAATGTTTACTATCGACCAAAAATAACGAAATAAGGATTAGTGAAAGTCGATTTTTTGATTTTTGACCGCCTGATATCTGATAGTAGCCCCCTTGGCATAAATAAAAAAAAACTCGAAAACGAAATTTTTGAGATTTTTTGTTTTAATTTTGACATTGCTCAATGGTGCAAACATTATCACGCATACGGTAAGTATTGACAATATTGCTTACCGTGTGGGGTTCACTTAGTACTTTAAGGCGACATTAATCCATAACTCTGCTGCTACTCCACGACCATCGTCATCAGCTTGCACAGCTCGTGTGTCACCCCCGGAAAGAGATAACCTTGCTCCGCCAGCTGCTTGTACGTCACCACAATCTCGTCGTAGAATCCCACCTTGGCAGCCGGAATCTGCGATCCTGGAGACGAGAACAGCGTCACCGTTAACCGGAGGCCCATCGCACGACACATGGGAATGCGAGCCCGTAGAAGCTCCGTCGCTATACCCCGGCCTCGGTACTTCGGAGCAACGGAGAGGCCCCACGCCGATAGGTATTCGTCTACGCCGTACTTCTCGAACAGGTCAATTTGTTTCAGCAAGCCCACGTACGAGTCGTATACCATTTGAAGGCCGGTGGATTTGAACTGCGGACCGAATTGGAAAAGTTGCAATCACTAGCTCAGGCTTCCAGCACACATCTCACTCACCATGCACTGCTTCGCATCTGCTTTGGCCGCCACGGTCAGCATGTTCAGCCCGACAATTTCGTCCGATCCCTCGCGAAAGCACACAATGGCCATCCGCTGCCGGGCGATATCCTGCCACATCTGATCAAACTCCTCCAGGGCATCGGCGTCCTTGTACAACCCAACACTGCTGCACATCGGTTCATCGCGCAAAAAGTGCTTCTTCATGTGTTCGATAGCATCTCGAACCCGATCCTCCGGTAGATCCTGAACTCGGTAGTCCACCAACTGGTCCCCGAGCGAATCGCGCGCCCTAAACCGTATCCAAACACGAGGCCACTCAGTTCCAGCCGGACGACTCCAGTTCATTTTCCACTCACACTCTCTCACACTCACGTGTGATCGGTTCCGAGTGCGATGTTAGACTAACGATATTAGTTTAAAGTTTGCAACGTTTTCAATACTTAATTGAGCAATTAAACTTGGTATTCAAGTGGTTTCGCGACGAATAGGGTAAACATTTAATTCGGCCTAATCGCCCATTTTGGGCGTATCGAGCAAAAATGATCACATTTCGGCGTTAACGAGTCAATTATGGGCCCCACTATGTAAGACGAGTTGAACGTCACTTCTGCTCACCGGTCTAGTTTGATGTTACTTTTGTAATTCAAAATTAGACCAGTGACCAGAAGTGGCGTCCGATTTGACTTACATAATGTATGTTTGGTACGATACTTTAGTTCAAAAGCTACAACACAAAGGCCTTAAAGGCGCAAGATATGAATATATACTCCCTTTTTCCTCAACATCAAAAGAAGCATTCCAAGCGAATCCATTTTTCTATTCGATTTTTACCTTAATCCGTGGGACGAATGACGTTGCAATACATTAGGATGGAATTGAAACTCGCACGACGAATTTTGAATCGAGAAAGAAAGTAAGATTTTCAAAAATATTTCAATAATTTGTGACTCTTTAAATAAATAAATAAATCAATTGAGACGCCATTTATTGTTGTGATAAAATCCGCTCGAAAAAGAGAGGTATAGTGCGGGTTGTACTTAGTAGGGCCAAAGTTATATCTAAACCCTACTATTCCGCTTCCCTCAAAGAACTCAGTAGCATTTGTTTTGAGCATTCTGCTGACGTAATGATGATGCCTCAATTAGCGTATAATGTCTCATATGTAAGTAAATATGTGTGAACTGGCATTACGTCGTCGGCTCTACACATTTGAAACCACAATCTAACACTAAACAAGTATGCTAAACAAAGAAAGATTAATATTGACTCATTTTAGTATATCCATTCCTTTTAGGATCCCTCTAGTTGGAGCAGCTAGAGTGTGTTTCTTGGTCCATGGGGGTTTACGCTGCTGTGTGAGGAAGGAAAGACAAGAGTGCTGTTTTTAACACCGGTTGAAGAAGTAGCGGCAGCATCTCTTCGAAATCATCGTGATGTCATGGATTGCATTATTATTGCAGTTTGCATTGAAAGTTGGATTTTCAGCACACTTCTCAAATCACAGTTTATCCTTGTGTTATATTGTTGCCAGAAAATATTTGATTTCGTATTGATAAATAATTTAACAAATTCTTGAATACTTGCTTGAATATAAGTGCTAAGCATTCACTATTTGCACGCTACAACTATCCCATGTACTTTGTAATCTTTTATTATTGTTTTTTGCGTCATTACAAATCATAACAAAGAAAAAAAAACTTTTTTGGATTTACAATTTACAATTTTTTTATGCACAATACATCCTGGCAACACTGCCAGAAGCGATCCTTCAGAATGTCAACAGAAACAAAACAGAGTTGAAATTTGATTGTTGTTGTTTTCTTCAAGTTTCCTGCTGCCTCGGAATTGTGCGCTTGAAAATTGTTGTCGAAATAAATATTGTAGTAGCAACGATTACCAGGTAAAATTAAGTTTTTATTATCTTTTGATCATTGACTGATTCAACTTTTGATTATGTTTGCTTGCAGCAACATGGACGATGACGAGGCTAACGCTGAGGATCAGGAGAATCGGGACACTACGAATCAAGTGGATTACGACGTCAGCTTTGATGATAATTCTGACCAATACTCCATTGAAGCTCTCGACGATGATTGTGACCCTCTGATTCTTCCTTTGGGTCATGATGACGCTGCAGGAAACTCATACACGAATGGAGGAAAACCTGACGAGCCTGTGAAAAGTACGGGCAAAAGCGAAAGGAAACATAATTTATCGCTGTGTGGATCATTCTTCAAGCGTAGGTATGTTGGAGAAATATCCGGTAGCTTGATAGCTTCAAAAATACTGTACGGTGATACAGTAAAGGAGATTCTGCAAAGTGTGTGGACAATTGTGAAGCCGGTCATTTTTTTTTTTTTTGTTAATTACTTTATTTGTACAGGCTCATTCGAATAAACTTTACAGAGCCAAGTTATCATTTTCTTTATACATTATAAATGTCTTAAATCTAAAATTAAAGGATTGGAACCGATTACTCGCGGTCTTCTCGAGGTTAGTGGATGACAATTGTTTGGATCGGGAGAGGGAAAAGGAGATTTGGAATATGATTTATGATTCAAAAATTTCACTATTTCTAAAACAAATACTTAATCCTATCGACGTTATATCAACTCTGTAATTATACAATTATTACAGAAACAAATCTACAAAAAAAAAAATACACACACACACATACAAAACACAAACTAAACACAAGGTTAATCAAACTTACAATCTATGGTTAATATTCTTCAAGAAAACATATATGAGTTGCATAAACTCCAGATCGCGTCTAGCCAAAATATCCCGAACTGGAACATTAGGTTGTCTACCTCGAGAAGCCGGTCATTTGTCGTGAAGTTATTTTCATCGAGGATAATGGAAGTCAGGTTCCTACCTGGGCTGATAGTGAACCATCGTATGAGGATTTGCAGAAATTCGTTTATATGCAGAATAAGAATCGGAGACGAATAAACATTGACCAAATTGACAGCAAACTGCTGATTAGCTGGAACACGAAGGACATGCGAGTGCATGTACACATCTACTCAACGGCTGTATCGTGCAAGCAACTGTGGGAATTGGTCAACAAACAATTGGTGTTCAGGATACTGATCGAGCGGGTGCTCCCAACAACCAGTCTCTCTCCGTGTTGGCTAATGAGCTTCGAGAGTTGCATGGAAGACAGTTTACCCAACAATCAATACGAAACTAACGATTTTAAATTGGCTCACCACTTTAGTAGCCTATTGGTCCCAAGCAAACGATTAACGTACCCTATTCTAGTTGAAATTCTATTACTACACTATGTTTGTTTTGATTCGCTATGAAAGTTTGACAGATAACATCAGGGGTGTGTGGATTCATGCAGAACATGCAGGGGTGAGTGAAATAGCTTGGGACTGCTTGGGACCGTTGTTCTGGTACTGAGTGAGCCAAAAATAATAATTATTTTCTTCGGGACCCAGTGGTCTTAGAGTTACCTCTATGGTTTACCCAACAATCAATACGAAACTAACGATTTTAAATTGGCTCACTACTTGACTAGCCTATTGGTCCCAAGCAAACGATTAACGTACCCCATTCTAGTCGAAATTCTAGTACTACACAATGTTTGTTTTGATTCGCTATGAAAGTTTGACAGATAAAATGAGGGGTTATTGGTTTTTCCTATGTTTCGAGGGGTGAATCGATTAGCTTGGGACCGAAGAGAGTACCAGAGCTGAGCCAAAAAGTTGAGCACGTTATTTCGGGACCTTCTAGTCTTAGAGTTACCTCTATGGTTTACCGGTCACGCTAGCGCGTGGAAGCTGTGGGCAAATTACATCCACACGGCTCCAGCACACGAACGGGAACGAAGAATGGCAGAGTTACCTCCGTACTCCATAATTAAGTTCTTCAGGTCTGTACCTATTTCCGAAGCTGTGCAGCTGGAAAGTACTCGAAATGGGCTATCTGTTGCCAGCACCATCAATGACGCATTTTCAACGGAGCTAACAGTATTGGAAGAAGAGGCCGACCAATTGATTGCACTGGGACAGAGGGTAAAGCACCGCATTAGTGCACTGCGGGCTCGATCATCGATCAATTCGAGTCTAGTTTCAGCAATGCAGGACTCTATCAGACCAGAGGAGAATGAAGTAAGCCGTTCCCTTGCAGAAAACGTTTCGGATATGTATGATATTGATCATTCGTGAATCATCATTTTCAAATACATACGTGATTTTTGTACCTGAACAGTTTTATTCAAATAAAGCCTTTTTACTCACACTTTTGTTAACTTCACTCTCCTTTAGCATAATTTGCCTGCCCAGCATTTTGCGACAACCCAACTGAAGGGTTAAAGACTCCACCCGGTGAATATCCACAGTGATGATAAATTTTGGTACAATCATAGTTTTCCATGCTTGAGTTTAAATATGTATCTATAAACGTTGTGTAAAAGTTTCTTCTATCCGGTTATTAAGGAGTCATTGAAAAGTGCTAAAAACGCTTTTCACCGCTTGCTGTACAATGATTATTTAGGAGTCATAAAAGAGTGCTACAAACACCTCTCAGGTTTACTCTCTATTAAATTTCAAAGCAGCTGTCAAGAAGTGTCTACAAACGTTGTATAAGAGCTTTCACCAAAATAATAAAGCTTGAGTTTAAATATGTATCTATAAACGTTGTATAAAAGTTGCTTCTACTCCTATACCGCGTATACATATAATGCTGTAGTTGAACAGGTTCTCCAAACCAGTGTAAACAAGAGTTTTACAGAAGTTGTTATAAACAAATTGTACAGTTATTATTCAGCATGCAGTTGAATAAAATCACAATGGAAGCGTTTCTTCAACAAGAAATTGATTTTGGGTAAACGTTTTACTGAATACGTTAGACAACACCTTTGTGTTGCAGTTGTATAGGTTCTCCAAACCAGTGTAAACAAGGGTTTTATAAAAGTTGTGGTGAACACATTGTGCAATTATTATTCAACATGCAGCTGAACAAAATCAAAACGAAAGCGTTTCTTCAACTGGAAATTGTTACTTGGGTATCTTCGGTCCCAAGGTGTAAATACAATTTCGTGAGCTGGTTCAGCAAAACAATTTGAAACTTCGGAAGATTTTTAAGATGTTTTCTAGTTCACTTGAAAAATAAAATCGGCTGAGTTCACAGTACTCAGGTGTGAGCCATAGTTTCGTATTGATTGTTTTTTTTTTTTTTTCCTTTATTTAACGTCGGTCTCTGTTCCGCAATCTAGTGCCAATCACCGACGGACATCGATTGCCATCCATTGACGGCAATCGAATGTGCAGGAAGGCAGCTTCCACACCTGCGTAGGATATCGCACCCATTCAACACACATGGGCCGGGACCAACGGCTTTACTTCCCTTCCGAAGGAAGACGTGACCAGAGATTTTTATGCCTCAGAAAAATCGCACCGACCTCGGCTGGGATTGAACCCAGACCCATTGGGGTGTTAGAAAGCAGTCACGCTTACCACTACACCACCGGCGCCGGCTCGTATTGATTGTTGGTAGAACTGATATTGGTATGCCCTAATAATTTTGTTTTCGTCACAAATTAGATCAGATCCCAGAGCAAACCAGAGTAGCTCTGAGCAACTCTGAGTAAAAGAGATACTCAAATGAAAGCCGTCTTCCCCCTCGGTACGGGCTGTGCTAGGACGAAATTATAGATTATAGATTAAAAACCCTAGTCCTGCGTCAAAAAAAAAACCTTTATTACTTCTCAGCAGCTAGTTTCTTCACCTTAAGTGCCTATAATTTTCCTAGCTAGTTCAAGGTCGTAGAACGAATCAATCTCCAAGGAATCCTTATCGTCGATGACAACCACCTCACAGTTCTCATTCTGGAAATGACCACCCAAAAGAAGACGCTTCCGGGCAAAATAGAACATTCCAGTTTCCACCAACTCCCCTTCCCAGTCTTGCCGACGAGGACGCTTCCCCGGATCAAAGTTCAACGGAATCGTCCTTCCATTGTCCGCTCGCTTCCACCGCAATTTGAAACTCCTTGTGGCACTGAAAACGCAATCCACCCTTCCCGACTGGAATCGATCCAGAGCTTCCTGCAAGTAGTCCAACCGCAAAAACGGAGAAGTGCACTGCACCAGGGCAACGTTCTCCACCCATGGATGCCGGTCCACAAACTCCCGTACCGATTCGAGGGAACTGGTATGATCCTGGGCCGCTTCCACCGGTCGATGGTGTACCCGAACTTTATCGCCCGGAAAGTCCCGCTCCACCGCACCGGCAATGCGATCATCCTCGGTGGAAACCCAAACCGAGTGGAACCGGTTCAAATCCAGCAGGATTCGGAGCGTTCGAGCCAGCAGGGATGAACCGTCGATTTCGGCTAGGTTTTTCAGAGGGATACCACGGGAGCCACCCCGAGCTAGAACCAACGCTACGACGCTTTCGGTTGAGTGATTTCCATGATTCTGCGGGCATCTAAATAGTTGACATGCAGTTAGTAAATCCTGATTACTTTTTCAAAGGGACGTATCTGCTTTTGTAAACAATGATTCAAACGTCAATTTGTCGAATCTCTTAGCACTCCCACGCAAACTAGCACCACCATCAGAAAGAGTAATCCCAACAAGATGTTGTTGTTAGTATGCGTGGGAGTGCTATGAGTTTCGACAAATCGAGAAATATGGGAATTCAAACTGGTCTGGTTGTCACTTACATTTCGTTTTCTTTGTTGGCGACGATTGCGAGCTGCATACAGCATAGCGTTGTGATCCTCACTAACCACATGATACTGAATTCAATTGAGTTGAAGCATTATTCAATCTACCTAGCTGAGATTTGCATTTGTCACTGGTTCAGATGACGCTACTGAGTCTGGCACCGATCTGATTCACTTTTTGCTCCCCTCCTAGTCTGTAAAATTCCAATGCTGCACGACACGCACATGACCGTTTCCAGACAGGGATCTCACCCGTCAACAAACGGGAATCAAACTGTCAAAAACATTTAAATATTCGGAATTTAATTCTCGTAAACATTGTATTACATCTTCGCTCGTTGGGCTAAACCCATAACCCACTTATAGCGAAATCGTTTATCATTCAGTTCCAACCTGAATCGGGTATCAAGATTGGATCTGCTTGTTTTCTAACAAACGTCAGTTTGATCATTTGTTTTTAAAACCCAGCTCAGGTTGAGGATCGCACTGACAAAAAGTTCGGTTTCGCTATTAGTGAAAGGCTTTCGTTAGTTGGGCTGAGCTGTCAAAGCTGAAAATTGCTTGCGGATACATCGATTGTCTATTATCATCAAAATCGTTTAGCGACTACCCAAATTGTTCATCCATGAGCCCCTCGAAAATTAATCTGCAATGTCAAAAATGACGAGCGAAATTCGACTGTATATCATATTAAGGCTGTGAACCATTTGCCGAGTTAAATTTAACTCGTGGTTAAAAATGACATTTCGAAAGTTATTTTCTATGTTCGAAAATCCCCGTGCTGTCGATCGACCGGTTTTCGAGCCACAGTTGTCAAAATTTAACTTCTTGTCTGTCAGAAGTAACCACGCTCGGATAGCAGGGTTAATCGATAACTTTCCATCTGTCAAATTTTAACCAAAAGTTAAAATAATTCGCCAAATGGTTCAGAGCCTAACAATATGATCCATAGAGCTTTTTGACGTTTGATCGGCGTACACTACTGCACCATTTAAGGGGAAGCAGACCTCTCCGAAAAAAAAAAAAATACGTTTTGATTTTTCTAAAAATATTGAAAAAAAAGTATCAAAAATCTAAAAAAAATCAAATTTTTTCCAATTTTTTAAAGAAAATTCACGTGCAAAAACATGTTTTATAAGTCATTATGGCATAAAGTTGGACTCAAAAAACCACAAAACATCAACTTTTCGGTTTTTCTGAGAGTCCAATTTTTATTCATGATGGGATAGAAAAAATTTTTTTGCATGTAATTTTTGACAAAAATCTAAGGAAGAAACTAATTTTCTTGAATTTTTGATAATTTTTCCCAATATTTTTAGAAAAATAAAAACGTACCGAAAATATTTTTTTTATTTTTGGGCCGGTGAGCTTACCCTTAAAGTGAACGAGTGCGAGCAAGAGGGAAACAGATTAGTGGGAAAACAAACCGTTCATTCATTAATGTGTGCTAGATAGAGAAAGACTATTAAACGTCAAAAAGGTCTATACATTGCAATGGGGACCCGAAAATTCTGATTCACGCTCCATCTAGCGCTGAAAAAGAAGTCAGCAAACAATCAGCCAATTAAGGGTCCCTTATTACAAATATAAAAGTCAAATTACTTCCATTAATTACATCTTCTTATATTACATGAAAATGTGTCAAACGTGTCACTGTTGTTAGGATTATGCATATATTATGTCACGGTCTAACGGGGGGGGGGGTCTATGATTTTGTGACAAGCAATGCATTAGGTATAGGAAAAACGTCACGATAGGGGGGGGGTAAATTTCTCCTCGATTTAGCGTGACATAATTAATGCATTGGCCCTTATCAAATAAAATAATATACTGAAATACAAGCTTTTAACATATTATACAAATTTCCACTTGACTTACCCCTCGAGAAGCTAAACAAAGACATAACTAGCTTTTTTTGGCCACAGAGGCGCGTTCATCACTTGAAACTCGATTCGCCAGCTCAGCGATAGAGTGGATCGTATTGTTAATATAATATATTTGATTAAACTTTAAAATCTCTTTTCAATTCTCCACTGTCAGCGTCATGAGCTTATTAAACTCAACCGGCACCGGGAAGTGGAACCCTCGCACCGCCAGATCTTCAAACCGCTCCACAACGGCATCCCGGAAGCCAACTTTAGCCGCCGGAACTTGCGATCCGGGATGGGAGAAAACCGTCGCACTCAGCCGTACTCCAAAGGCTTGGCACACCGGAATGCGTACCCGGAGGATTTCCGTTGCGATGCCCAATCCCCGGTAATCAGGATGGACGGACAATCCCCATGCCGAAAGAAAGTGGTCCACCCGGTGCGTCTCGAAAAGTTTACCCTTCTCCGTCATGTAGAGAGTGGCGCGCACAAAATCCTTCACAGCGCGACTTTCAAACTGTAATGAATCGAACGTTGTACTTATAGATAAGACCTGCTAGCATGACATACAAACCTTTGAACTGATCTGGTCGCTGCGTGAAACAACGGTCAACATATTCAATCCGATGATTTCGTCGCTTCCCTCGCGGAAACAAACGACGGCACACCGCTGGTGGGCCACTTTTCGCCACACTTCGGAAATCTCTCGCACACCCACCGGATCGTTAGCCAGATTCCGACTCCGACAGATGGGTTCATCCCGCAGGAAGTGGGTGCACATGTGCCGGATGGCATCTTCGATCCGTTCCAGTGGCAGATCTTCAATGCGATAGCTAATTAGGTGATCATCGTTTGCGTTGGGATCGCGTGCAAGAAATGTGTGCCACGTATGTGGGAAGGGTACGTGCTCTGGGCGCTTCCAAGTGGTCATCTCGTAGATGAAAGGTTTGCTCAATCCTCTGCGGTTGAAGTGAAACTAACGCTCGATGGTCTCATGCACAGCGTCTTAGCCTTATCTGCTGAACCCATCCGAGAAAGGAGGGCAACCACCACTGAATACGGACGTTAATACGTGTTTTTTTTAAAGAGGAAAACATAATTTTTAAAATTTCAAAAATCCTAAAATATCGATCATATTTGCGGAGGTAAACGGGATATAATATTTGGAATATCCAATCACTCAAAAAGTCATGATTTTTGGTCTTTGTAAAATTGTTTGGTGTGTAAATTTGATCAACGTAAGCCTTGATTTATGTCTGCAGCTATATGAAATGTAGTTAATTGTTGATTTTTGATATGGTCATCAGATGACACACCGGAAGATCCGAAACATCCGTAAAATTGATTTCTGCGTAAACTTGTTCAAAGCAGGCCTTGATTTTTCTCGGAAACTATATGGAATGTAGTAAAATTGTGTTTTTGTTTTATATATTAACTAGTCATTAGCTCCGAGTGGTCACCAGATGGTCTGCCGAAAGATCCCGAACATCTGTAAAATTGATTTCTGTGTAAATTTGATCAGAGTAGACCTTTATTTGTTCCGATACTATATGGAATGTAGTAAAATGGAGATTTTTGATATAGTAGTCAGTCAATGCTTCTAAGTGGCTACCAGATAACCCACCGAAAGATCTAGAACATCCGTAAAATGTATTGCTTCGTAAATTTGATCAGAGTAGGTCTTGATTTTTCTCTGCATTTATATTCAGCTAGCTGAACCCCGTGCGTTGCTACGCTTGCAATTAAATGAACGAACATTTCAGGCATCAGTTGTCCCACAGCTGTCTACAGCAGCAGTCGATTTTTTATTTCGTTGTGAACCACACGATAGCCTGTTTTCGAGACTCGCTATTATATAGTTGTTCTTTGTTCGTTGCTAGCAGTTCGGTGCCTTTTGTTGCTACGGTGCAAGATGTGTGAAGTAAAAAACACCATCAAGTTTAGCTTCAGCCATTGTGATGCCAAACCAAACATCGGAGAGATAGTAAATTTCGCCAAAGCACTCGACGCGGATCCGGCTGAAATGGAAGCTGTTTATCGCATTGGTGAGGAAAGGGGAGTCTTCATGAAGTTCAAATCAAGGGAAACGATGCTCCATGCTCTGACATTCAATTCGGAGGATTTAATTTTCCATTATGCGAATGGAACGACGGCAAAGGTACGCATGTCGCATGCTGGTGAATTCATTCAATATGTGCGTGTGTATGACTTGCCACCAGAGGTACCCAACAACGAGCTGGATAAAGTGCTGAGGAAATATGGGAAAATTAAACGCATCATCCGGGAGAAATTTCCAACTGATCTGTGTTTTGAAGTATATACAGGGATACGCGGTGTATATATGAATGTGAAGAAGGAAATCCCCACGTCATTACATTTCTTCAATCGGAAAGGAAATATTTTTTTATGATGGCAACAAAGATAAATGTTTTCTGTGCAAGGCGAACGGACACCGGAAGCTTTCCTGTCCCAAGCGGAAGGCTCGCAAGGAACCGGAGAAGCAACTGAAGGAAAAAGGAAAGCAAAGTAAAAGAAAACAAAACAGCAGCAGTACGTATGCTGGTGTAGTGGTGGAAGGTGCGTCGTTTGTCATTAGCGATCAGGAAACGGACACGGGGTTGGAGATGTTGAATGAAGATAACGAAATGGACGTGACTACCCCGACGACCGACGAGCGTAGCGGAGAGCATGCACAGCAAAAAAAAAATAATTGATATCACGTCAAAGTGGATGCACTACAATCATAGAGGTAACTCTAAGACCACTGGGTCCCGAAGAAAATCATTATTATTTTTGGCTCACTCAGTACCAGAACAACGGTCCCAAGCAGTCCCAAGCTATTTCACTCACCCCTGCATGTTCTGCATGAATCCACACACCCCTGATGTTATCTGTCAAACTTTCATAGCGAATCAAAACAAACATAGTGTAGTAATAGAATTTCAACTAGAATAGGGTACGTTAATCGTTTGCTTGGGACCAATAGGCTACTAAAGTGGTGAGCCAATTTAAAATCGTTAGTTTCGTATTGATTGTTGCTACAATCATGTCGAAAATATGGTGTAATATTACTTGCTAAAAAGGACAAAATTATCATTAATACAATGCATGAACTGACATTACGCTGCTCTTACTGTATTTGTTTATTTATGTGGTCATAAAAATTACATGAAATTTTCGACATGATTGTAGTGCATCCACTTTGATGTGATATCAAAATTATTTTTTTGCTGTGTGCAATAGGAAACGATGTTCAGAAACAGCAGCAGCGATCACGATTCGGGTTCAATAAAAATGAGGAACAAATTCGGGAAAGAAAGAAGTTGCGTGCACGGGAGAAGATCGCTTTGTCGCCGCTTCGATCGCCACCCAGATAAATCATATAATAAAGTATATTTGCATATATTTTTTTTTTTGTATTTTGAGTACCATAATTGGTATTCTATGTTACTCGGCTCCGCTAAGTTATTTTTATAACATTCAAGCCTGCCAAATAAACGAAATGAAAAAAAAAAACATTTCAGGCATAACATTTGATAACGGCACAAAAGCATTTGTAAACAAACTTTCTAAGACCCTTTACACGCGAACCAAAGTATGCCCACGCAAACCAACAACATCATCGGATAGGGGCAACTATCACCTTTCCGAAAGTGGTATTGGTTTGCGTGGGCGTACTTTGGTTCGCGTGTAAAGGGCCTTAGAAAGTTTGTTTACAAATGCTTTTGTGTCGTTATCAAATGTTATGCCTGATTTAATAGAATAGTTATGCAGAAATTTCTGTTTCATTTGTATGGGAGCCCCCCTCTCCCCTTAAGGAGGGGAGAGGGGTCTCGATCCATCATAGAGCAGTTCCACACAGATTCGCAAATCGTTTCAGATCGACCTTCTACGATTATGATGAAACTTTGCACAGTTGTTTGTTATTGCCCAACATGCCATTTTACATATATGGTTCCCTAGTTTTGCACACGACTAACACTTGAAAAGGGCTTATGCAAAAATAATACGCATCAATAGAAAAATATATATCTCGTGGTCACTTACGTCGTGCTAGTCAGGGGGTAAAGTTGCTTCCACGAAGTTCCCAAGAACTTCCAAGAACTTCCCAAGAAGTTTCCAAGAACTTCCCCAGAACTTCCAAGAAGTTCCCAAGAACTTCCACTAAGTTCCCAAGAACTACCACGAAGTTCCCAAGAACTTCAATGAAGTTCCCATGAAGTTTCCAAGAACTTTCCCAGAAGTTCCCAAAAACTTCCAAGAAATTGCCAAGAACTTCCAAAAAATTACCAAGAACTTCCACGAAGTCCCCAAGAACTTCCACGACATCCCCAAGAACTTGCACTAAGTTTCCAAGAACTTCCAAGGAGTTTCCAAGAACTTTCAAGGGTTTCCAAGAACTTCTAAGAAGTTTCCTAAAACTTCCAAGAAGTTCCCAAGAACTTCCAAGAAGTTCCCAAGAACTTCCAAGAAATTCCCAAGAACTTCCAAGAAATTCCCAAGAACTTCCAAGAAGTTCCCAAGAACTTCCAAGAAGTTCCCAAGAACTTCCAAGAACTTCCCAAGAACTTCCAAGAACTTTCACGAAGTTTTCAAGAACTTCCACGAAGTTCCCAAGAACTTCCACGAAGTTCCCAAGAACTTCCACGAAGTTCCCAAGAACTTCCACGAAGTTCCCAAGAACTTCCACGAAGTTCCCAAGAACTTCCAAGAAGTTCCCAAGAACTTCCACGAAGTTCCCAAGAACTTCCACGAAGTTCCCAAGAACTTCCACGAAGTTCCCAAGAACTTCCACGAAGTTCCCAAGAACTTCCACGAAGTTCCCAAGAACTTCCACGAAGTTCCCAAGAACTTCCACGAAGTTCCCAAGAACTTCCACGAAGTTCCCAAGAACTTCCACGAAGTTCCCAAGAACTTCCACGAAGTTCCCAAGAACTTCCACGAAGTTCCCAAGAACTTCCACGAAGTTCCCAAGAACTTCCACGAAGTTCCCAAGAACTTCCACGAAGTTCCCAAGAACTTCCACGAAGTTCCCAAGAACTTCCACGAAGTTCCCAAGAACTTCCACGAAGTTCCCAAGAACTTCCACGAAGTTCCCAAGAACTTCCACGAAGTTCCCAAGAACTTCCACGAAGTTCCCAAGAACTTCCACGAAGTTCCCAAGAACTTCCACGAAGTTCCCAAGAACTTCCACGAAGTTCCCAAGAACTTCCACGAAGTTCCCAAGAACTTCCACGAAGTTCCCAAGAACTTCCACGAAGTTCCCAAGAACTTCCACGAAGTTCCCAAGAACTTCCACGAAGTTCCCAAGAACTTCCACGAAGTTCCCAAGAACTTCCACGAAGTTCCCAAGAACTTCCACGAAGTTCCCAAGAACTTCCACGAAGTTCCCAAGAACTTCCACGAAGTTCCCAAGAACTTCCACGAAGTTCCCAAGAACTTCCACGAAGTTCCCAAGAACTTCCACGAAGTTCCCAAGAACTTCCACGAAGTTCCCAAGAACTTCCACGAAGTTCCCAAGAACTTCCACGAAGTTCCCAAGAACTTCCACGAAGTTCCCAAGAACTTCCACGAAGTTCCCAAGAACTTCCACGAAGTTCCCAAGAACTTCCACGAAGTTCCCAAGAACTTCCACGAAGTTCCCAAGAACTTCCACGAAGTTCCCAAGAACTTCCACGAAGTTCCCAAGAACTTCCACGAAGTTCCCAAGAACTTCCACGAAGTTCCCAAGAACTTCCACGAAGTTCCCAAGAACTTCCACGAAGTTCCCAAGAACTTCCACGAAGTTCCCAAGAACTTCCACGAAGTTCCCAAGAACTTCCACGAAGTTCCCAAGAACTTCCACGAAGTTCCCAAGAACTTCCACGAAGTTCCCAAGAACTTCCACGAAGTTCCCAAGAACTTCCACGAAGTTCCCAAGAACTTCCACGAAG